TCTCGGCCAGACTCCCGTGACCTGGGTGGTTAGGAAAGCTGCTGGCACGGTGCCCAGCTCCGGAGCCAAACCAAGCCGGGGCCACGCTTCCCAGCTGCCCTGCGCACTGCCAGGCACCAGCCAAAGTCAAACCCCAATGCCAGCAGGGATTGCTTCAGCTGAACCTCGCTTTTATTTCCATCGGGGATGGAGAAACTCCTCCAAAGAAAACAGGGGGAAAATGACTTTTTTGTCTCATATACACAGGGGTCCCACCCCCCCAGGGTGGCTTCAGAGCACCCGTGCCTCCATCAGGAGGTGTGCCTGCCTGCCCTTCCCCAAACTCCGATTGCTGGTTTTGCTTTTTTGGTGGTTTTAGTGCTTTGCGGGCGTGCTGCCAGGGCATGGGCTGCCTGCCAGCAGGTTACATGGAGCCCCTAATGCTGCCACGGCTGGGCTCAGCCCTGCGTGGGGTGCAGGCTTTGTCCATGGCCCCTTCCTGTGGCCCCCACATCTGCCCTTGCTTTGCTGCCAGCGCTGTCCAGGGACACAGTGGTCTGTGTCCAAGCAAGCAGCATGCACTGATGGTGCACAGGGAAGCCAGGTCCCACAGACCCGGGGCAAGCCCAGGCTCCTGCTCTGCTCTGCAGGGAGGCAAAGCCAAATGCGCCAAAGGTTGCCAAGCATCGGAGGCTGGGGCCTCTGCTCCCACAGGGGTCCGGGATGGTGCAGGCAGGGATGCCCCAGCCTGGGAAGATGAACATGGATGCTGCCTGCACCGGCTGGAAACAGCGGGGCCAGCCAGGGCACTGGGGTCGGCTCAGCAACACGGGACTGGGTGTCGCTGGGAAAATGCAGTGACTGTTGGACCAGAGGCCACGCCGGGGAATGTGCAAGCTGGCGTTTGCTTTGCAAAGGCGATGGCTGCCCTTGTTACCCAGCAGATTCAAAGGAGAGTGAAAACGCCGACCCGGAACTCAGGGCCCTGCCATGTGAGCATTGCTGGGGTGCTGTGCTGCGCGGCGGTGCAGGCAGCACGTTTCTGCAGTGCTGAGCAAAGGGCCAGACCTGGGACCTTCATGTAGCAACGGAATGGCCGGGGGGGCTCAGCAGAGTTGGCAAAAGGTCCCACGTGGGACAGAGCAAGGCAGGGGACAGAGGGAGCAGATCGCTGAAAACGGGAACAGGGCCACACGAGCACAGGGACAGCACGGAGCTGAGTGAAAAGGGAGCTGGAAGTCCCCCGGCACTGCGCTGTGGGGCTCACGGTGTAGGAACAGCAGCGGTGGCCAGGACCACCCAGTGGGCAGCCCCCCGCAGCGCCCGGGAAGGGGCTTGGCCGGCTGCCGGCCCCTTCAGCAAGGACGGGGCTTAGTCACCTCTCACTGACACCATCTAATGTTTGGTCTCATTCCCAAAAACTTAAATTAAACAACTTGGTGCTCTTACGTGCAGGAAACATGTCTCTGGCTGGCCGAGAACGTCCTCCTGCAGTGGCAGCTCCCACCGAACCACACGCAGGACTCAAGTGGGCATCTCCTAAACCCCTGCGTGTTAACTTGGAGAAAGCTGTCTCAAACCACCAAGTAGCTAAAACCCACAGCCCCAGATAACATTTGGGGCCGAGGGTTTGCCAGCGTGGGGGGAAGAGCGGAGCCCCCCCCCGGCTGACTCTGACACAGCTCCCGGGCCCCCCGTCTCTGTGATGCTGAATGCGGAGGGGATTGCAGGCATCAGCCTGGTGAATTATGAAAGTCAGGATTAAAGGGCAGGGGGGGAGCAAAATGCCCTGGACGCTTTTTGGCAGGCGATGAAAGGAAGGTTTAGCGGCAGCTGCCAGCTGGGAGCCGGCGGAGGGACAACTGCAGGTCTGACTCCATCCCGGGCTCCCCAGGACAGCAGCCACGGTGCATCCCCAGCACAGCCACTTTCTCTCTCCTTGCTGCAAAGCAGGAGGGACCCATGTGCCTCCTGGGCATCCTTGCTGCTTCTCTGGGCAAAGGGAGGGAAGGAAAACTGCCCCCAGATGGGAAACCTGCGGGGAAAATGCAGTTTCAGGGCATCACCTGCCATCGTTACCAGCGTGGGTCAGGGAGCTGCTGCTACCAAGGAGAGAGAAAAGAGGCTTCAGCTGCTTTTCAGTTGCCTTCAAGACAGATTTAGCTCTGTGGCCGGCCACAGATGGGGCTGCGTGGCCAGACCGCCTGTGAGATACAATCTGAGATCTCGCAGTGAAGCCGAGAGACTTTAGTTGCTAATAGAGATACAGCAAATTAACCGAACTTAATTCGGAGGGTCACCACACAATGCTTCCACCTGTTTTGCTGTGATTCTGCCATCTGCCACCCCTCTACCTGATGCAAAAGAGGCTTTTTTTCCCTTTCTCCTGACGCCGAGGGCTTCATTAAGTCGTGTCATATCTCATCAGGGCTGCAGCGGCAGGACAATGGGCAGCGAGAGCCGAGCTGAGGGAACATATGCAAACTTTTGGAAGCTTTCCTCTCCAGGACCAACGCAACCGAGGGGCTACTTTAAACCACTCTCTATATTCTGCTACGGAAAACGGTTTCATATCCAGATCTTGTTTTACAAATGGCTAGCTAAGTGATTCTGCAAGCAGTGTATCGAATGCTGCCCTGCATTGCTCAGCTGCACTCACTGACACGTTGCACCACGCTTCAGCAAACACCGACTTGGAAAACGGCTGCTGCTGTTTACAAGATGAAGGAAAACGCCAACACAAGCAAACCTTTAAAACACACGCTGCCAAAAGTTCTGTGAGGGACCACCAAGGGTCCCGTCTGCAGCCCAGGTCCACTGGAGCCAGTGGGACCGTGCCAGCTCGCAGCCCAGGTTGGGCAAGCATTTTGGCACTCACTACAGGAGGATGGAGGTTTTTAGGTGCGACAGCTGAGAAAGCATGATCTTTGACACAGCTCCCATTAGAAGAAATCCTCCCCGGAGGTCTCCCAGGCTGAGACGGGCCATATGGCAGTGAAAGTAAGTTCCCAGAGAAACCCCAAATTCAACCCCGCACTTGGAAACCCTGCGGAGGGGCTGGCGAGGGCGAGATGCTGCCTGCCTTGCTGGCAGCCAGCTGGCCTGGGGGGGCTGGGGGAACAGGTCTCCTCCACCAGGCTCAAACACCCACGGTTTAGCTAAGTCAGCATCAGAAGAGCAAGCTTGAGCACCCAGCTGCAGAGCAGTCTTATGGCTCTGGCCGACATGAAATGTTGCTTCACCGTAGCGGCAGTCGAGAAGAGTCGAGAAGAGTCCGGCACGGCTCCCCCCATCAGGGATATTTGCAGGGGGGAGCACTCACAGGGTCGTTTTTGCAACATAACTGCTACTAGCAACACACTATGCCTTAGGTCAGCATGCCCAGGTTCTGGGGCAGGAGCCTGCTAGCCGGTGTAGCACGGCCCAGTGCGCTGGTGGCTCTGCTGAAACGCCACCGTCCCCGCCGCCGGTGCAGTAAGTCAGGATAGCTCTGTAACTTTGGACTATTACAGGCTTCAGACTGAGCTCAGGAAAGGTATTTCTTGCAAGTAATAGCACAGGCTGCAATGCCTGTGACTCACCAGGAAATTACAGTGTGGCCTAGCAGAAGACAAACTGGAGAGAGGGAACAGATCACTCCTTACAGCAGAAGGATGCAAACCGAGCTGCAGCTGTCAGAAACACCGTCCACGCTTCGGAGCTGCTGCTTGCCTTTCCTTACTGCTCACGTTGGGAAAGGTGCCAGTCACCGTGCTGCTGCTGCCCACCCAGCCCAAGGTGCAGGCGCCGTCCTGCGCGGCAGTCGGGCTGCACACCCTGCAGCGCTGGCCCATGTAGGATGGCAACGTGGGTACCCAACAGCTGGACATCAACATCACCTGCACCCAGAACCTCACACGTACCAAACACAGCAGCAGCCACGGCGCTGATCTGAGCGGTGAGCACACACCGTGCCAGCCCCAGCTAATGTGTGAGCTGGAGGCCAGAGCTGCTGAAGCTGCCTCTGAAGTTTGGGTTTCTCAACAGGCCGCCTTACCTTTCCCGGCCAGCAAGGCTGGAAGTGAAACTACACTGTATACTACGCACAGAGCATGCATTTTAAGACTCAGCTGCCTTTGCCTCCTCTGGGTCCAACACCGGTGTCCCGAATAGTACCAAGAGGCGGTGGGGTGTCCGCTAAGGCAAGGCTTGGGGTAACCCCCACCCCAGACAGGGATCTGGTGGAAAGGCCTCACCCATGCAGGACAAGGAGGAGCCAATTCAAAACCAACAAAAGGTGTCACAGTAGACACACGGATCAGAAACCGTGTCCCAGGAGATGCTGCAGACATGAAAGCCGGAGCCTGTGTGAAGGAAAGCATGAGTTCCTGGAAGGATGGTGGCACGCAGAGGGCAGCAGCCCCCGTGCTCGTGTCCCCAGCATCGCAGATGCTCTCCAGGGCTGTGGGTTAAATCACATTGTGCAACTCGGGATCGGCGCTGTCTGCAGCCCGTGGGTCACTCCCACCTCCCCAGTTGACTCTTGGCATAAACGCAGCTATGTCCGCGCTGTCATGAACTGCAAAATGCTGCTCGTAGCATTATGCCAAGGGATCGCTGTATCACATTCCTGGTGAAAACCATGCGTCAAAATATTGTTTGCTTTCACCACTGCCAGTGCTACAGACTGTACTAGACATTGCACAATATTGTGTGCTGAGGTTTTAAAGAGCTGGTGAGGTTACTTCCTGAGCGTGCTGGCGTTCACTCAAAGGGAACAGCAAGAGTGCAATCGTTGTGGTTGCAGGGAAGACAGACAACTTCATCCTAATTGTGAATTTAAAGGGAAACCTGTGGTCTTTGGAGGCCTAATAGGTGACAGTGCCAGACTGCTCCGACAACACCCCGATACGGAAAGACCTTCAGCTTTGCCAGGCCAAGCTCTGCCCCGTGCTGCTGACTGCAAAGCCAGAGCGAGACGCACGACCGCTGCGGTGAGGACGTACCTGGCCGTAACTTACACATGACCTGGCGCTACTCCCATGGCTTCTCTCCGAGGGTACGGCCCGTACTCCCAGCTGTTATCTCCGGGTATCACCGTAAATCGGCGACGCCTGCCGCTGATTCAGGCAACGGAAACGGCAGGCGGCAAAGCACCTGCGCTGCAGCAGGAGCGGGCGAACTTCGTGTCGCTCGGCTCCGCCGGCACGGAGCCAGAGGCCTCGGGCTTGGCCCAGCCTAGGAAAATAAAGCAAAGGTGAGACGTTTGAAATAACGCCCTCGCTCCGCACAGGCGCTGCCCATCGTACGACACACGAGCTGCCGCGCCGCTGCTGCGCCGACCCGCGGCCCAGCCTCGCCCCCCAGGACCGCAGGGCAGGGGTGCAGCCGCGGCCGGGGGAGCCCTTCCCTCGCGGGAGCTCACGTCTGTATTTCAGCTTTTTACGGTTTTGGGAACAAATCTGCGTTACCCCCGCCCGCAGCCGGTGGCCGAACCGGCCCCGCCGAGCTCGGCCTTTGGCCGCTCCCCCCCCGGCTGGGGCC